AAAATACATTTAATAGGATTTCTATCGCAGGTACAGTACATACAGAAGATGTTACAATCCCAGCTGGTATCATGGTTTATTAGCACTTGACCTTGAACACGGTGGTTTTGCCACAGGCGAGGTGTGTCGCAGCAAACCGAAACCCTCGCTGACATTTGTGCTGTGATGGTATGTAGTCTGCACCATTCACACGCATGCACCTGAAGTGAAACCAGGGCTGTAGAAATGATCGGCTCTAGGAAAACTGAGCCCTTGGCTGGCGAAGAGCTCCTTTTGGAGCAGTCACCGCCTGATTATTTGCCCAGAGGAGTCCGCGGTTTGGTTCTTCCTCTTGGCCTTTCGAGCCTTGCACGCCCACCAGATATTCCCAGATAATCCAAAAAATAAGTGTGAGTCATCGAAACATCTCACACCACCTCATTTCCAAAGTCTCCAGCATTGACATTAAGGGACTCGTAATGTTTGAGTCTTCTAAGAGAAATACCTCCAAGGGTGACGTCCTGGCTCTGCCGAAGCTGCCGGCCGAGCTCCAAATGACCTCCCTGGGAACAGGATCTCACCTCACACACTTGCCTTCACGTGGTGCTTTCTGAAAACTGCATTTTAGCAACTTTGAAAGGCTCTTTGTTGTAGAAAGATGAATTTAGTCGGTCTCTTTCTGTATGTCTATGTGGCTATTTACAGCAGTATAACTGAGTATAATAAATTGGGCAAGTCTAGCCTAAGTATCTATTATGACATACCGTAGCTGATCGGCTCCAAGAGAGAGGAGGAGATAAGCTATGGGGGCTTCTCCTCTGCGAGTCCACGCGGATGTCTGACCAACATACACCTGCACACTATGAGCCACGTGTGGACAGGCACGCATGCCTGAAGGTGCAAAGCCTAGCGGGGGCTAACCATGCGAGGATGTGACACCCATAGCCCTTAGCAGGTTTGTACGAGCTCCAGGATGAGCATGGACCCCGTAACTTCACAGCTCTTTTGTCTCTGGGATGATTACACTACCAGCAGGTTGGAGCCTGCCAGCTTTGCCACATTTAAACCCTGCAATCATCCTTGATGGACTGGTGAACATAGCTCTCCGTGTCTCTCAGATGCTGTTTAAGAAACAAGGAAAAACAGCTGCTTCAAACTCTCGTAGCCTGGACCCTAAGGAAACCATGCTTGCACATTCATGCTGTCCATCTGTACAGCTTCAGCAATTCTTGCCTCCATTAGCTAATTTCTGCAAATCTGAAGACGACTACAGATCTGAGAGATGCGCAGGGCCTACAGGAGGCTTGCACAAAGCATGGCTTAGGGGTTACGGGCAACACCCGATACCAGCAGCCAAGAGGCAGGAGCCACATACCATCACCACTCCTGTACGCTGTCTCTGGAGGAACAGGCATATGTGGACACTGGGGACATGAGGGCAGGCTAAATGCCTTGCAGTGAGTGGAGGTAGAAGAGCCAGGGTAGGGTATCCCTAACATTTCTGTACTGGGATAGGGAACATGGGAAGAAGAACAGGATATTACCTTGCAAGGAACTGCGAACCCAAGAGTTGGTAAAGGAGCATAGGACATAAAATAAGTGTATTGCATCGCTGTCACACAGGAGAATTCTAAGGTAAGTGAGGGTATTATGGTTAAGGCACCAAGCCATAGGAAAGCAGGTCTCACTGTATCTGTTGCTTATGTGTTCGCTAACATTTTTTTTATTTGGTTCATTAGGCAGAGGGGAGCGGGTAACAGACATTTATTGTGTTCAAATCACCACTGAGTGATGCTAATGGTCTTTATGGGGATTTACTGCCCAAGTTATGTGGAAGATAAAAGATAAATGCTGTGTCACTATAGGATCTAAAACAATAAAAGTCAGTGTACAAGTCCTCCTTATCCCTGTGTTAACTTGTAACGGAGGGAATAATCAAGCACAGAGCTATTAAGAGCAGAACAACCTCCCACAAGCATTCCTGTAAAAAATGGGCAAAAAGAGGTAAGTTTTATTAATTAGTAGTGCTATCTTTAGAACCACTACAGGAGCCCTTTAACACAAGCTATCGGTGATGTCAGCTTTCATATAAAATCTCAATACAATTTCCTGCAAGTTATAGGTTCTCAGCATTTCTTGGCGGATCTGGACTCTGATACGAGGCAGTGGCACTTTCTCAACTCACCTGCAAGGCTCTACAAAAACCTCCACTGACACTCCATGCTAAAAGCCGCAGAAATTCTGTGTCCTCGTGTTGCTGTAAACCGACTCTTTCACCTGAAAATCCTCAGCAGGTATAAGATAACAGTTTATATTACTCCACCTCTTCAAATATCCCTTATTAGCACTGTGCAGCATGTATCAATTCTTAACCAGGGAAGTTCTCACAACTGTTTCCTCTTATTCATTCTCTTCTTTCCTTCAAAGTAGTTTGGTTTCCCTCTACCCACTTTACATTGATTCCTGTTCTCCCCTGTTAGAGAAGTTTCTCTGTATATTCCGCTTTCTAACACGAGCCTTTATTTCCCTACCTAGCCACATTATAAGCTTTCCCTTCAACTCTCCAGTTCTCTTCTAAGTCTTCTCCTGCCAATCAAGCTGAGCTGAAAACCAGATTCTTTCCTAAGTCATGTTTTAACCTGAAAGGTGCCTCTCTACTGAATTACAGGATGGGATTGCAGTCACCTACAATTACATAGGTCCAAATACTGTTAGAGTGGCAAACGCTTTGAGATTCGGGAGATGCTTTTGAAATAGGGCTGCATATAGACTGCAGCTGGTGTTCAGTTAGTTGCAAACATAACACTATAGAAACTTTACATGCAGTTCAATGTCTTTGAACAAATGAATCCTGATACCACTGAACAACTAGAACTCTTAGTATATCTTGTTGACTCAAAGTAAATGACTCGCATAACAACCAGAAATTATGGTAGAATTCCAAGTTTTCATATTTAAAACATGTAGATATATGCTCTAGAACTTCCCATCTAATTCTGCATCATTCTGCTCAAAACTGAGATATACAGATATATATATACACACACACACATATACACACCTCCCCCACATGCTACTATGAAATGTTGCACCTGTTTCACCTGTAATACCATAATAACCAATAGTTTTGCCCTCTTTTTCTAGACTCTGCTATTAACTTACATTTTAAGTATTGATAGCAGTTACCACAGCTTTGCCAATACCCCTGGATTTATTATCGGCTTTGCTTCCTCTTAGGCTTCCTTCTCCTTTCACAGCATCTTCCCTATTATCCATTACACGTGAACAGCTGCAGTTTCCCTGAATCAGGCCCCTTATTCCTCCTCAGTCAACTCTCTGGTGTTTCACAGTCTTTTGGGAGTTTAATTCACAAGCAGAGAAGCATACTCTTCATACCTACAGAATACACAAAATGGAATTCCAATCACCTTGAAATTTTTTTTTGCTTAACAGGCCTCTGCTCTGTGAATTGCTCAACTACAGCCCTCTAAGGTCACTCATTGCAGCGCCACGCTGTTAAGGTACAGAACCAAAGATAAAGGTACAGGAGCAAAAGATGACAAAAAATGGGCTATACGTTAGGTTTGGTTTAGGCTATTACAAGCTTTCAGCAGCAAAATTTATTATGGCAGAAGACTTAACTACTCTGGCACCAACCTGTCTGCTACAAAATACTCTAGGACATGTAATTGTGTGTTTGAGTATGAAATCAAGAGTATTCAAATTGTTTGTATTTATGTGCATTTCATCCGGTTGCTCTTCCTTTATAATTTTAGCCAGCTATTGCTGTCAACTGTATAATTTCCTTTTGGACTGTATCTGCTTATGCCAGTGGCAATGGTTACTCATCGCATACAGGAATTTACAGACCACGTCATTGCAAAGTGTGTCCGTCCTCACCATTTATTTTTCATAAGCCCCTTTTAAGTTCAAAATAGAACTAGTAACAGAATTAGACCCATAATTAAAGTAGTGTAAGATCTTTCATTGGCTTAAGTGGGAGTTGGATGATAGGAAATTCTGCTCCTGCCAGTCTCCACGATTACTGATACAGAAATTCATATGAGAAGAAAACTGTGTTATCATATAAGTACCTCAGGTAGAAAGTCAGCTCTGTACCCGGTTTGCGCTCTGCACCTTGCTTGAGAATCTCAAGCGAAGAGAATCCTTTTTTTCTCTTTTCCTCTACCTAGACAGAAGGAGGAAAAGTTGGACAATGAAAAGGCACATTGCTCACTTTCAAACAATAACTCCTAAGTAGCTTCCTGAAGAAGCTTGGCTTTTTTGACAAAAAAGAAGATAATATTTGATTGGAGTATTATATAGACATAAAAGCAAAATAAAACCAAACATGTTATCTGCTGAGTTATCATTTTATATATACGTATACACACAAATCAAATCTTGAGATAGTGTGGGGGAAAAAAAAAAATCATATGCTGGAATCCAAATCTCCATAAAGAGGTATTAAGCAAGTAAGGGGGAAGAAAGAATTTATCGATTTACATTTTACAAGCCATTCTGCCGTGCTTATTCCATGAAAGAGTGAATTTATGCCAACGTTTCTATGAGTCGACACTGAAAAGCACGTGTAGAATGAAAGCAGGCTAACACAATTACTTAAGCTTTTCCAACAACAATGCCATTTTCAAATGTGGGTGTGTACAAAGACGTACACATGATCTTAAAATTCTCACTCGCTACATAGTGAAGCAGCCACACAAACATTTAATGCTGCATGTTAGAGCAATTTTAATGGCTACGACAACACAGCTTCTTTGTTGCAACATTTCTGCAGTGTTGTAGTGTAGTTCTTCATCAGACCATGAGTATATATGTATCAGACCACTGAGGATCCAGTCTGATACCTCAGCACAAACTATTTCAATACAGATGCATTCCACTTTTTTGCTTCTGCAACCTGGAAAACCCCTGTTTCATATTATTTACAGAACTGTATAGAAGTATCAACTATAGGACTACATTGATGTCACAATCAAAAAACCACACAAAGGTGACAGTATCTCAATGTATGCTGTATTGTAACAGTGAAAATGAACTCAGGCTATTAAAAAAAATTTATTAGGATTTTTTTTTTCTCCATGAAAGATTGGTACTACAATCAATGTAACCATTTAATCAGTCAAGTATGTCTGTTATAGGCAGGCACAACATTACAAAACAGGCAAGTACAATGCCCGATTAAGCAAATACAGTCTGAATATCTATTCATCCACTATTTCTGAAAACAGAATTATCAAATATCCACCAGGGAAAAAAAGATGAACTATTTTTGTTTCTCTTTGGCATACTTATCAGGACAATGAATTAATTACAAAAGTCTTCTATTGCTGCCAGTGCTGTGAAGAAAAAACAGTACTGAACGGAAGATTGTATGTCAGAACTCACTTTTAGGACTCAGGCAATCTGGCTAACGTATCAGAACTGGTGACAAACGACAGTTCAGCTGCCAATGCTTCACAAGGCAGACAAGGATTACATTGTTTTATAATGCAGTTTTGTTGAAGGTATAAAAAAGATTACAGTAAATTTATGCACAGTACATACATATTACACACAGTTATATAAATACCCATGCTGTGGCTGGACTTTAGGAAGTTGCTTTATCAGTAAAAAAGCTAGTATCAGACCTCCCAACATCCACTTAATACACATTGCACTTCGCATCCAGTAATATGTTCATTTCTGTACCTCTCAAAAATAGATTTAAAACAGAAGCGAAGAATAATATCGAATCTTTCCATAAACTTTGTTTTTCTTATTTACATTGTAATATTCCATTATACATAAAGACTGCGTTACGATACATTATCTTCATATAGCTTTTTGTAATACATACAGCTTGAAGCTATTAACATCTTCGTTTGGGAACAGAGATGTGACCTATAAGACTATTTAAAAACAATTCTAGCCTTAATTTTGCTCTAGTTTGTTTCACTGAAACCATTCTTTGACAAAAGAATCCTCCTTATTGGGGAGGAAAAAAAACAACCCATGCTTAAACCACCTCTGGATTTCCTTAAGCCACTGAGAAACTTAGAAACCATAATAATTTTTGCATAATTATATAGCCACTTCAAAGGCCTGTTAAATTTAGAACATGAAGAACAATTGTGACTGTATCTTTAAATTAGTTTTTTTAAACTTCTGGTTATTTTTCAAACATAAACCAATGAAAACGCAATCATTAATCATACATAATCTTTGCTCAACTGAGAAGAGTTCCTATTTTATTAGGGAAAAAATGAACATGCACACACCCCCATTCACAGAGTGAGAACATAAACTACAGCAGCACTTGTCTCAAGTTATGGTGCACGTGGTGGCAATACGGGGTATAAAACAAAAGAGTAGAATTTCCAACATCTGTTAAGACACAAAAAACTTAATGTACAAAAAGTCATTCACATTCTTTGCAATGAAGTGAGGAATCAGCTGTTCAGCTTTGTGGACTCTCCAGCCGGCAAACTCCTCCTTCTATTGCCACGGACTGTCCTGCCACGGCTCCAGGAGGAAGTCTTGAAATGTGAGTCTGTGGAAAAGCCAAGAGAATATTATCGAGTGAGAAGAGAGGCAAAATCATGCAGGATGCAGAGCAAGCTTGTAAGTATTGAACAATTAAGCTGCTCCACCACTGAAGTCTGAGGGCAAACTACAAAGCAACTTGAAAAGCTGCAAACAACTAGGACTCTCTTATTTTGTTTGTGTTAATGTTTAACACATGACAAGAATGTAACCATGACAGATGTGTAGAAAAGGTAAACTGGATGACCCAGTGCACTAAAAATAGAATAAAGGAGTATCCAGCGTGAAGACAAAAGAAAAATAACTGTGGCATTCCATGGTTTATAAGTCTATTTCTTAGGGAGATTCAAAAAAGTTTAGCACTGCATACAGAAATACACCTTACAGAAATCTTAGACACAATAAACTATTTGACAGAGATAAACTAACACTTGAGAGCGTAAGCCAACTGTGATGATCAGGATGCAAAGAAGAAGAAACTTCTCTGCATAAAATACCTACTCGTCCACCTAAAAAACCCCAAAGACTTCCTCTAAAATATCTGTTGTCAACTGTCAAATAAATGGACCCAAAGAGCAATTGTGTTTCTGTCAACAAGCATCTCTTCCATGGAGAAATTTTAAAAGCAGGCCTTTGAGACGGCTCTGTAATGTTCCAGCCAGAAAGTGGACACGTGTGGTTGTGTACACAAAACTTCAGCTCATTACTGTAACTCAGTGACACTAAAAATCTGTTAAAGATCCGTTACATTCTGAGGTGCATTTTATGGGTAAAAGCATTCACTTGTGAAAAGATACTTGGACTTACTGTTAAAAGTAATGACTTCTTTCCTATTTCCCCTCTTGCACACAATTGTACACTGTGAAAACTGCTTGTCCACATGGTTGACTCTGAGCTACAGCAAGCGCCATTTACAAATATATTGATTGCTTTCATATAGGACCCAGTGGCTAAAGTAGTGTTCAAACAGAACAACAAACGGAGTCAGAAGCATGTTTCTACAAACTTTGCTGTTTCCTACTTTCAGAGCTGCTGAGTAGGCTCGGGTAAAACAAAAAAAAGTCTTAGTGGAACTACAAAATGCAATAGGGCTGATAACAGCATTTCCACAGGCTTGAGGCAGAAAGTGGCAATGGCAGGGAGTCACTGGCTCAAGCTACGCTCCAGCCATCCCTTCCACCAAAGCAGGAGTGCTGGCCTTCATTCCCCTCCTGAGTTACAAGTTTCACCAAGTGATCCATTAACGCTCAGACAATGTAACGCTTAAACGATTACTAAGTTAGGAACGAGAAGTGATTCCTACTGCGATATAAATCTCACAACATAGAAGGTGCTGGCATTTAGAAATTACAGCGTCCTGTAAGTGCAGCCAGCTACATATTTAAGTTTTTGAACGTACATTAACCCATTTAAAAGATTTAAGTGCTGCAAAATTTATAACTTGCAATGAGGCAATGGGTTATGACGAAAAGTATGGATGTAAAAGTTCAGTAAAAATAACTTGCATCAATTGAGCAGAAAGTGAGTTGAGACTGTAACCACAGTTCATTGCATCGAAGAGACATTTTGTATCTCAGAGGCAGCTTCTTTTAATTCCTTTCCTGATAAGGGTATCCTGGTGTCTGCTCTTAGGTGGTCTTGTTTTCAGTTGAATTACAGAATTAGATTTAATTAAAAACATTTAAAGGTTTTCATTCTACTGCTAAAACTTTGATCTCTGGCCTTCCTGCTTGATATATGAACATCTTCCTACTTTCAGAACAATTTTGGTTACAACAGTGATTTACCACTTCAAGAAGAAAAGATTCTTTTCAAATGTGTTACAGTTTCCCCCAAAATGTAACTGACAACTTTTGGAGATGTTATTTTGTAAGTTTGAAGGAAAAAAAAGAAAAAAGAAGAAAAACAAGTGGAAGAAAGATATTTTTCCAAGGTCTGTGAAAATTTCTAAATGAAAAGTGGGATAGACTGACAGTGTAAAAGCAGCATTGTTCAATGGGCACAGTAGCAAATTTTCTCGGTGGAAGAACGTAATTGACTGTTTAGTGAGATACTGCAATCAAAGCAAACCAGTGGTCGACTCTAAGGCAGCCATCATTTTTAAGTGAGATTGCGTATACAGTGTGATCAGTCAGAATTATTAGCAGTTCATTGTAGCAAGACAATAAAAAGCACAGAGGCCCAAGGATGCTGCCAAGAGGCAAAAGACAAGTAGCTTGTTACTGAAACAGAAGAAATATTAGCACTGTCACGATTATCAACAAATCTTATAATCAAATTAACCTTTTGCATAGGCTTGACTTTGCAACCCGCATCCCAAAGTTAAATGCCTAATAGACCCTTATGTAATTGGCAGGAGCAAAATGTGAGGCTTCATTGAATCCACATGAAATTTATAGATCCTGGTATTTTAAAAAGTTACCTAAGCATGATATCCTAATAAGTTTTTGAGCAAGGAAAGGAAAAATACACAAGAGTGGATAAGCAGATAGTCAGTATCTATCAATACATTATCAAGTAGCTATGCTTAAATAGCTGTCCAAAACACACTTCCTATGCAAAAACTCATTTCCTATAAAAGAAAAAACACGTCTCCCATACAAAAGACCCCAAACCACTATACACTAGCATCTGTAGATTTCCATTTACAGAAACCTCCAAACCACATATAACAAAACCTTTCTTAAAGCCTTTACTTGCATCCTGTTTATTTGCATACTTTATATGACAGAGCAAATACAGATGGTGTTTTACACTGACTACTTATTACTTTCTCCAATGGCTGCCTTATGTAGAACAAAAATGAGACAGACCCAAGATGATTGTGTTTAAAATATGTTACCTAATAAGTAATATGAAAGGATAACATCGCCATGTCAAGACAACTTCAGATAAACTCCCAAGTGAATATATCTCCCTTGTTCTTAGCCGTAAGAACAAACTCTAGTAAATAAAAAGAAAGATCAAAGAACATTTAATATTTTTAAATGCAACCACATTGTACAGTTTGTTACATTTTTATATCCAAACATCATATTTTACATTAAGTCCAGATTGTACAGTGGATTAGGTTTAGATTTTAAAAATGTAAAAATTAAAAGCAAACAAAAAAGAACAACACTGGAAAGCTTTTAATTGAATTCTATTAGTCCATCAGCTTTACAAGCTGAATGAACTCACATCTGGGGGAAATTGTGCCTGGGAGCACAAAAACAGGAAAAGAAAAAGTTTTCCTGGATTAATCCTCCACTCAGCTTCATGGAAGCCTCTCTTTGAGGAAGCCATATGCCCAGGAAAGGTAGATCAAGAATGACGGGGCTATCCATACCTTCAGCTCCATAAATAGAAATTTTACTGTGAAATCTGATTTGATTTGCTTTCCTAGAGAAAAGCGAGGTTGGTGAGGGTCTACTAGGAACAGAGGTTCTGACAGGTATGAAACAAGTTAGTCACCACAGATCTTTGTCTGAAGCTTAAAGGAGGAACCTTGTGCCCACAGCTCAAAAGGAAAAAAGGTAAGCGCTAGATGAAATACTTGGTTTTCCTTCCCACACCTCCACAAAGCACAAACAAGCTAGCCAGCCTTCAGACACTGATTCTTGCTCCATGTACTTGCCATCGAAACATTAAATGTTTCCCTCTTTTCCTCTCCTAACCAAACCAGAACCACGGAGCAACCAACTCTCCCAAGCCCAGTGCTGCAGACACTGTGGAACGTTGCTATCTCTCAGTCCCTTTTGATGCACACTGGAAAGTTTCCCACTACCCTTCAGGTCCAAAACTAATAGGTCCTTCTGCCCTGGAACAAGTGTTAACTGCTACAGGGACAATATATGGTTTCATCTTTTTGTCATGATCATTTGATCTACTTTTCACGTTACATATTTTTAGTATAACTTTTAAAAAAATTTTTCAAAAAAACAACCTACAAGTTATTGCCAAGACTTACTTTATTTCATGTCTCATAGACAAAGATTCTGAAACAACCTTGAGACCAATTAATATCAAAGAATTTTTTTAGTCTTTAAAGAACTAGTCTCCTCCTTTTAGTCACATAAAAGTATTAGTCTGTCACAACAGCTTCTTTTTTTTTTTTTCGTTAAAAGCAGAAATACAATGTAGAATGAATATGAAGTTTAAGCCAAAAGACAGTGCTGCATAAGAAAACTGAAGTCAATCAAACGCTGCCAAGAAGACAGAGTACAACTACCAGATGGCAGCACATTCAGTTCTTAAGCAAATCTAGAGAGTACTTCATATGTTTGTTTAGCTTTCTTATTACATGCTCAGGATGTGTTTTAGACAGAATAATTTATAAAACAAACTTTTTCCATTCTTTACACTATTGAGATGAAATATAATGAGAGACCAAGGACATCACATACTTAATTAAATCATTTTATACAACTTCACTCCTTAAAGTACCACCAAACCCGTATATTCTTTAAAAATTCAAGCTTACTTGCTGGGTACACATTTCCACCACAAGAACCATCTGGCCACGCATTCTCAATTTATTTTCTAGACAGTAATAGCCCATTCTGGCAGCAACAGCCATCCTCTGCTGCTCTGGGAAGCTCTCCTCCAACGTGGTTTGAATGTACACCTGCCATATGACAGGAGAAGGTGCCCCACAAAATACTGGCAACTGCCACTATCAGAATACTCCACGTGCAACTCGTTTGGTGAAATCCTAAAAAAGAGAAAAAAAAAAAAAAACAACCCCAAACCAAAACCAGAAGAAAAACCCCAACAAGAGCGGCTCCAGAGTAATTATCCTTGTCGGCCAAAGACAGACAGATGTACTGATGGTGTGCTTCTGGCTCTCAGGCACTGAAAATACTGATTCTACATACAGGTTGCTTAGGAAGCCAACAGTTTTCCACGCTCAAATTCATGCTGTGGGTTACGTATATTAATATACACTGTTTATGTATCTCAAAACATCAATATAATGCATTAGGGAAAAAAAAAATCAAATTTTAAGAAAGTTGAAAACGAAAGCAT